TTTTCTGCATTCAGACTCCATAGTTCTTTTTCTGGATAAGGATAGCATTTTCCATCATGAGTCTTTTGGAGTTGCCTTAGATCCTTGCATTGCTGAAAAGGGCTAAGTCTGTCAGTTAGTCATCACACAGTGTGGCTGTTACTGTGTACAACGTTCTCCCAGTTCTGCTCACTTCTCTCAGCATCTGTTCATATAAGTCTTTCCAGGTTTTTCCAAAGTCTGCTTGCTCACCATTTCTTACAGCACAATAGTATTCCATTGCATTCATATACCACAACTTGTTTAGCCATTCTCCAACTGATGGGCATTCCCTCAATTTCCAATTCTTTGCCACCACAATTTTGCCACCATATTTTTCTAAAGAAACTTTACTGAATTTCTTCTTTGCTTCATCATGTCCTGCTTTGGATCATACTATTCATGTAAATGTCGTGTCCCCTTTATTAGATAATTTCTCTGAGGGCAGTTATTCAGTGGTTTTCAGTCATGTCCTGACTCTTTGTGACCCCGTTTGGAGTTTTTGGCAAAGATACCGGAGTGGTTTGCCATTTCCTTCCCCAGCTCTTTTTACAAATGAAGAAACTGAGGCAAACAGGGTTTAGTGACTTGCCCAGGGTCACACAGCTAGTAAATGTCTGAGGCCAGATTTGAACTCAGGAAGATGAGTCTTTCTTACTTCAGGCCCAGCACTATAAGGACAGACACTCTGCAATTCTTCATCTTTGTATCCCTGGCACCTAGCACAGTGACTGGTAGACTTGTACCTACTGGGCCCTTAATAAATGTTTGCTGTTTTAGACTGACTCTAGCTCCAACATATGCTTTTCAAAAGCTAATACTTTAAAAGTCAGACCCCAGTCAGCCCCAACACTCTGAACCAGAGTGCAATTTTTAGTACTCAAATAGAATTTGAGTACTAATTCACTGGGTCCTTCCCTCTAGCAATACTCATCTCAACTTCTTCATGAATTCTCACCATTTCCATTTTGTGTCCATATCCTTCTGTTAATCTTACGTAGAGAGGGATGGAAGAGAAGAGAAGGAAATAAACATTTATATAGCACCTACTGTGTGCCAGCTAGATGACTCTGAGAATAGCCTGCAGTCAGGAAGTCTCATCTTCCTGAGTTCAAATCCAGCCTAAGACACTTGGTATCTGTGTGACCCTGGGCAAGTCACTTAATCCTGTTTGCCTCAGTTCCCTCATCTGTAAAATGAGCTAGAAAAGGAAATGGCAAACCACTCCAGTATCTTTGCCAAGAAAGCCCAAATGGGGTCACAAAAAGTCAGACACGACTGAACGACAACTAGGTGCCAAGCATTGTGCTAAGTGCTTTCCAAATATTATCTCATTTGATTCTTGCCACAATCTTATGAGGGGGGTAGTACTAGTTGATAATTTTATGGCACTTTGAAGTTTGAAAAGGTTATTTTATCTATATAACCTCAACTGAGCTTGATCACAGCCCTGTGAGAGATTATTACAGATGTGACCTTCATTTTACAATATGGAAACTGAGGCTCAGGGAGGATGACACACATACAGCTAGTAAGTCTCAGAAGATTTGAATGTAGCCAATTCTTACATAAAGCCCAGCAGTCTATCTACTATGGCATGCTGCCTTTCAAGGAGAGATAAACAATGCTCTGTAATCTTTGCTCCAGGGTAACACTTGTTCTGTGTAAGTGTTAGCCCTTGTTCTTGCTACATGACCAACTCAATCACCTCCTTTTCTAGTCAGATTTATCCTTGATGATAGTAGTATGATGCGAAAAACTTGTACCAGGATGCATTTTTTGTTACCCTTTGGGTCACCCATAATTTTGATTCTTTTGAGATTGTGGTTCATAGTGGTGTCCATGATTCATAGCTATATAGACTCACTGGGAAAATGGCGGTCTTAAAATACTGGGCTTTTGTAAGAGAGTGCAACTTGAAGTTGATGGCATCACCCTGCATTCCTATGGCTATGGTGATGTATGAAAAATGGCGCTCTAGAATGAACAAAATTGGAAACATTAAATTGACCCATGAAGTCTTGAGAGACTTTTCAAACTTTAAAGTGCCATAACAAATGTCTACTAGTATTACCTACCTCATAGGATTGTGGTGAGGATCAAATGAGATAATGTTTGTAAAGCATTTCCAAGGCTACTCCTGCATTTGTAATCCCTAGACTGAAAGGTGACTTGTCCACCATCACATAGAATCAAAATTCAAACCCAAACCCTCTTAACTTCAATTCCGATGCTCTTTTCTGTCCAGAGGCAGCTAGGCAGAGTGGGTAGAGTTCTGACTCTTGGGTCAGGAAGACCTGAATTCAAATCTGGCCTGAGACATTTGCTATGTGACCTTGGGCAAGTTACTTAGCCACTGTTTGCCTCACTTTCCTCATCTATAAAATGGAGATAATAACACTTCACAAAGACTGTTGTGAGGACAAAATAAGATAAGTATAAAGTGCTTAGCAGATAGTAGGCACTGTATAAAAGTTTGTTAAATATAAATATATATCTGTACACCATCCCCGGTGAATCATAGGAGTAATTAGCCTATAATAAAATTAATAATGCAGTTGTCCACAACTGCAGTATTTCATGTAGCCTTGGATCTTTGATAATTCTCTGTAAATATTCCTCATTGAATTGGTAGATTTTTTTTTCAAATAGAGTTTGGTTCTCCGTATTTGTAGTCATCATGATAGCTACTTAGGAATAAGAGATAGAAGTATACAAGCTTTGTTATGGTTCAATACAGATTCACAAATAGCTTTTGAAAATCACTAGGTCCTTGGACCTGGAGAAAAGTTTTAAAAAGCACACCTTCCTCCCTTATTTTGCAGAGGAGAGCTAAGGATGTGCAATCAAGGGTATAGGATATTACACATATTATACTTGAGTAACAATATGTTGTTGACTGGTTTTTCTGAACTCTTTTTTTAGTTTTAATTTTTACTTTTTTTTTGTTATAAGGGATAATTTAATGGGTAGGGAAGGGACACATTCAGAAATGAATGTGATTTAAAAAGAAAAGATTTCAATACACATTTTCTAGAAGAAAATCATGCCCACACAAATTCTCTTTGAGTACTAAAAATTGCATGGGCCCTCAGTTTTACTTTAACCCATATCTTTTGATCCCAATTCTCCCTCTTCCATCATTGGACTAAGAAAAAAAGCATCTTTCTATGATGAGACCCTGAATTTCCTGATGGTGCCGGTGATTGTGAAAAGAGAAGCAAACTATCTTAAATTTCTTTAATGCTTCATATTTTGTTCATGGGATTTTGACATTTCTTTTCTCATTCTCCAACTTGCTTTCTTTTCCTCACAAACAACCCAATCAATCAGTAAATGGATTATTTTTTTCCCTTGTGGAATAAAAGCACTACCTCAAATTTACAGATCACACAAAACTATTTACTCTTCAATGTCAACAACTTGCAATTTTAGGAAGTTGATAAGTAGACAGTTGGGAGGAAAGTGGGGAGAGCTGCAGGTTTGGGGGAAAAGCCACAGGTTTCATCAGAGGAAAGAGGATGATGAAGAAGGCAACTGTAGGAAGCCAGAGGGGAGAATGCCTTTTTCTTTACCATTGCTTTTACTGACTGCACTGTGCCTTAAGCACATAGTGATTAACTGTTATTACTTATTAATTAGTTAATTATAATTAATTCTATATTATATAAAATTATATATTATATAATTAATTATATGTTATGTGTAATTATATAATACATAATTAATTATATATAATTATTATTATGTAATAATTAACTATATTAACTATTCAGTAAACCTTTATGTAGCACCTACTATGTGTCAGGTTCTGGGGAACAAATGCCAAAAAATAAAACCATCTCTACTCTCAAGTTGCTACCAGGGGCCACGGAGAATCAAAATTCTCTTCTCAATTCTCCCACTTTAACAAGGGTATTTATAGAGAATTGCTGAAGATTAAAGGCTTTCTGAAATACTGCCTTTGTGTACAATGTCCATTTTCACAATGACATATAAGCCTGGCAGAGTGGCCTGCCTGCCGACGATGAGTTATTCTTGTTATTATAGGCAATTCTCTCCTGTGATTCATGGGGAATGTTAAAAAGGGAATGGCATAGAGAAAAGAACATGAGATTAAAAGTTACAAAGACCTACGTGTGAATCCTGACTATAGGCTTCAGTATCCTCATCTGTATTATAAATGGTTCTTTCCAGCTTGAGATCCCAGCCTCCTAAAATAACAATAACAACATCAGCAATTGCATCCATAGAGTTTAAGGTTTGCAAAGTGTTTGAATAATTGCTTACAGTACTTACTATGCTTCAAGCACCGAGCTTAGCACTTGACAATTATTATCTCATTTGAGTTGCTTAACAATCCTGAGAGGTAGGTGACAGTTAGTAATCCTCTTTTACAGTTCAGGAAACTGAGGCAGACAGGTTACGTGCATTGCCCAGGATCACACATCTAGTAAATAACTGCAGTCATATTTGAATTCAAGTCTTCTTGGGCCTAGGTCCATCACTCTATCCACTGACCACCTAGTTGATGGTCAAAGAGACAATTTATGTCCTTTTTATCGCCATGGATAACTTAAGTAGGCCCCACATTGCAATGGGATGGGAGATATATTTACTTTAAAATTGATCATTTGAGTTTATGGATTCAAGGGCACAAATTATCTGGCAAGGCCCCATGGAGAAGGTGGCCTTTAATTTGGGCTTCAAATGATAGAACTTGGCAAAGTAGAGTAGAAAGGGAGAAGTAGGCCAACTGGAATGTTATTGCTGGACATGCATACTCTCATAAAATATGTATGTCACTAACATTTTGGAGCCAGAGTATATTTCACAGAAGTTAGCCCCTTTTCCCATCATTCCCACATTTCATGATTGGCAATCATGATTCAAGTTCTCCTAATGCATTTTCATTTGCTGGTGCTCAATATCCTTCCTGGTGTCCTGTAAATATCATAAATCAACTTTGTTCCTCATTACAGAGTCTGTAATTCCGAGCAGTGGAACATTTCATGTGAAGCTGCCCAAGAAGCACAGTGTGGAGCTTGGAATCACCATAAGTTGTAAGTAAACCCAGTTCCTTGAGCTTGTTTGATCAAAGCCAGAAAAAAGGAATCACCTTATTTTCCAAGGGCTTTACAGGTGTTGCAAGTCATACTTATTGGAAGATCACCAACAGTTTTCTGTATTGGTAGGCAGTGGATATATGCAAGGTTTGTTACTGTTTAACAGAGCTATATAAATGGTTTTTGGAAATCATCAGGCCCACAGAAATTCTGGTTAAGTAGTAAAAATTGCATTGGCCTCACATTTATTTGCTTCTGTCTTTCCAACCTAGCTATCCTACTTGTATCTAATGTCATGCCCCTCACAGAGAAAGCATCTCTTTGTGACAAATGGACCCTGAATTCCTTGACAACATAAATGATCATGAAAAACAAACAGATATGAGGAACAAAGCACTTTAAATTCCTCTAATGTTCCCATTTCCTTTAGACTCTGAACACATAGCTCTCTTACTAAAACAGTTTTGAGAATTCTGTATCTCGATAGAGTTATAGAGATTGAACATCTGATTCTCTGGGCTCTGAATGACAATAAACAGAGTTAACCAATGAGGATAGTAAGACATTCAGTCACGGAAACCAGATGAGGAAAACACTCTGGCCATCGTTAGGCCATGCCTTTGCTTAAAAAGTAATCCTATCTAGACTTCATGAAAGTGTAAGCTGGAGCATGGTGAGAAGAAATAATTAAAAATTCTCCATTATGGAAAATAAACCAAGGCTGAATATACAATGCAACCTTGAGAAAATAATATTAACCAAAGTTGGAGACAAGGGGGTGAAATGGAAACTCTACACATATGAGTTAAAAAATAATTCAGCATTGGAAAAGAATGATTCTACAATTCTATAAAGAACTCCAGAAAGTTAAGTCAAAAAGAATTTATTAAGCATCTACTATGTACCAATCACTATGCTAAGTACTGGAGATACAAAATAAGGAAAAAACATAGTCTCCACCCTCTAGGAGCTCATGGTCTAATGGAGGAGCTCAAAGTCTAGTCAAGTCAACAAGCATTTATTAAGTACCTACTATATGCTAGTCATTGTGCTAAATACTGGAAATACAAATAAAGACAAAAACAGTCCCTGCCCTCAAAAAACTTACAGTCTAATAGAAACAGCTCAAACCGTCTAATGCAAATGACCATGTGCAAACTAGATATGCATACAGCCTAAATTGGAAATAATCTCAGAGGAAAGGCATTAATTAGCATTAAACGGAACCAGGAAAGGCTTCATGCCGAAGATGAGATTTTAGTTGAAACTTGAATGAAACCTAGGAAACCAGGAGGTAGAGATGAGGGAGATAATTTTTTTTGGAGGCAATCAGGGTTAAGTGACTTGTCCAGGGTCACATAGTAGTTGTCAAGTGCCTGATTTGAACTCGGGTCCTCCTTATTCCAGGGCCATGCTCTATCCATTTCACCACCTACCTGCCTGAGAGAGATCATTTTTTACAACTAGTAAAAATTCTCATTTGGAAGATAGGAGTATCTTGTGCAAGGATAGCAATTTCATGAAATCTTAGAACATGTGGAGAAAACTGTGGAGGGAAAGGGACCCCAAAACCAAGAGGTTTCATTGAAAAATAAGAGGTTTTATTGAAAAAATGTTTTTGTATAATAAAAAAAATATGTTATACAATAGGATTATCAAGACTTCCATCTGGTTCTAGCTCTTCCTGCTGGTTTCATATTTCCTTAGTTTAATTCGCAAATTTGATAGTTCATTTGGTCCCTTCATCCTTTCTCTATGAAACATTAATTACCCTTATAAACATTAGCTATCTACTCATGAGACTGACTTTAGAGAACGTAGAGAAACCATCTAGTTCAACCCCCCTTATTTTACATATGAGGAAACTGAGGCTGGGGGAGGTTAAGTGACTTTCACAAGGTTACACATGGCTCGCAGGATTTGAACCTAAGTCTTCCAATTCAGAACCACTGTCCTTTCTACCAAACGGTATTGCCACCCTTGGTCCATTTGTCGCAAAGAGATTGCTTACCACTTTAGGTTTGGTTTTGGTTTTGTTTTTTAGTACGTAATGGTTATTGGGTGGAGCATCTTCATGATTCTTTTATCAACTCAGGCTGTTTACCCTAATATAATATAAATCAAATTCCTGTTAGGATGTAGGACATGAGATCTTCTCCTTTGTTCCTAAATAATAAATGTTTTAACTGTTGAATTGGCATGAAGGATTCAATTCAACTAACATTTTAAAGCATCAAACCTTGATACACTACATAAATCTATGATGATCTTGAAGATGATGATGATGATTCTCACTCTTAACTGTGGAAATTTAGTAGATATGGCAGTTTCATATGTCAAAGAGTTCAGTTACTGAGAGATAGGAGGAAATAGGCTCCAGTATTTATTCTCAAAAACCCCAGAAGACTTATGTACTTGGATATACTTTTAGTTAGAGATAGCTAGATCTATTCTTTAGATAGTTGGATCTACTTTTAATTAGAAAGGGTTGTGGGGTTTTTTTTTAATTGATGTCAAGACAAACTTCCTAACTATTAGGTTTGGCCCCAAATGGAATGGGTTGACTTGAGAAGTAGTGGGTTTTCCCCCCATTGTAGGTCTTAAGCAAGAGTGGGAGTGCTGGTATGTTGTAATAGAGATTTGTTTTTCAGTTATGGGTTAAACTCTGTGGCTGCTGAAGGTCCTTCTAGCTTTGAAAAATCTGAGAGTATCAAAGATATGTGCATGATGGTTAGCCACGCTTGCTGTTGGGTTCTAACAATGTAGGTTTGGGTTTTTTGTTTTGTTTTTTTTTTAATTCCCTTTCTGTTCCCATGCCTGCCTTAATGTTTACTGAATGACCTACATTCCCTCTCTCTTCTCCTTGAGAGAGGTGACCATAGCCTTACTGAAAAAGGCTCTTAATCATTTTTGTCTCATGAAACCCTTTGTCAATCTGATGAAGCTTTGGGCCCTTTCTCAGAATGATGTCTGTTGCTTACATTCATAATTGAAGGAAGTGCTCAATTTCGTTTAGAGGTTAGTGAAAATAAAGATGTCATTTTTTTTCCCCATCCAAGTTTATGGATCTCTTGAATCTATCCATAGACCCCAGGTTCATTAAGGACCACCCCCCACCACCTCAGTGGAGACTCTAGGTACCTCTTGGGTATGCCCAGATAGTTCTTTCTTGCGAAAAAACTCTGATGGCCTAAACCCTTTTCAATGGTGGGGTGATATGGCTTCAGCCATAGAAACGCAAATACCCCTTGGCTACCACCATGTGCAACTCCCCTAGATTTACTGTCTCAGGTGACTTTATGTACTTGATGCTAGGGGAATCGTTGTTATGTCTTGGGGTCCCAAACATACACTTAGGGAATAATAAGGCAGAATTTTAGAGCCATCATGATATCAGAAATTTAACCAGGGTGATCTCTGAATGTATCTTATCATTTCAAACTCACCCAAACCAGAAGACTGATTCCTTGAAAAAGTGGCAAATGTAGCCACAGAAAATGAGATTCCAGAGAAGGCAGAAATATAACATGCTTCTCTTCCATCTATCTCACTGTGGATGGGCAGGCAGAGAGTTCACAGATATAAAGTCATCAGCTGAACTTCCCAGGAAGGAAGGAAGGAAGGAAGGAAGGAAGGAAGGAAGGAAGGAAGG